GGAATTTTAAATAGTTAATTTGATACTAATATCGATATATTTTTGTCAAATTTTTATGATATCTTCAAATTTATATTTTATTCAAAAATAAAAATATCATCTTTTTTTCAAAATCACATAAGGCCACATTATTACATCGACTGAGATAAAGAATAAAATAAAATATAAAAATCAAGATGTATCTCGCTGTATTACGCGAGTATCTTTCTAGTATATATATATATATATATATATATATATATAATATTCTAGCAAAGTTGTGTCTTAATTATTCGTGACATAAAAAATGGTAAAACGTATTAATTTGTATATCATGTTTTAAGGTTGTATCAACATCAAGAATTAAATTTTTATTATGTGTCGTTATTCGTTAACGTATAAAACATCATTCCTTAATTCTTTATTTTTTGTTATTTTCTTGGGTCATAATATTCCACGACTTATTTTTATGATATCGGATCTTTAGAATCATTGAGGTTTGAAAAAACCATCTAATAAATACAAATTGACCAAGACTTGGGAGTCTTCCCATTTCTAACCACTTTTCATGTAATTTCTTCTTCAAATTTCATGGAAATTAAGTTTTGTTTTGTTTCAAAAAATTCCATGAAGGTTGAAATTCCTTTGAACCAATGAATGTGTTATTTGAGTTCTTTATTTGCTTCAACAGTCAGGGACGGACCCACTCTATTGGATACAGTGACACGAGTCATCGTTTTGTTCCTTCATCATATGTGAAAAGTTATAGGGTCATGAAATATGTCACAATATCATTTTGTTCAGTGCGACCATATATATTTTGAAACTATAATAATGACATGAGTTTCTCTTGGTAAAGTTGGTCGTATGACTTTTCTCCCATCCTAGACCTGGGTTTGAATCTCGTTTGTTTATTTTTCTTAGCTTTTAGTTTGTTAATTTCAAATTTACTATGTTTCTGAAGAAGAAAAATCGCAATAAAAGACTCGAACAAAAGACCTCAGATATGAAAAACAAAGAACTAATGAATTGACCAATGATGATTTTGTGAAAAATATCTTTATCTTTGTTTCTTGTAGTCAAATTGTCCACAACTTGAAAAAAAAAAAATTAGGTCCACCTTTACGCTATGCTAAACTCTTCTTTAAAATAGAGCAAAAAATAAGATATAAATTAAATAGAAAAATCTCCAAATTTTTAAAATATATAATACGATATGGAATTCGTATTCTTCATCAATTACACGACAATTTAATAAAGAAAACTGAGTCGACATAAAAAGGGAGAAAAATATCAATCTAGTGAAATTTCGTGGTAATTTGGGTGGGTTTTTTAAGTTATGGCTATCAATATAATTTTTTTAAATTCTAAGAGATTCTTTTGGTCAAATTTATCAAAAAATAATTAGAAGAGTAATTGTGCAATGTAACAAGATACATTTTGATTTTAATATTTTATTTTATTATTTATCTCAGCCGATGTTATAATATGGTCTTATGTGATTTTTAAAAAAACGATGTTTTTATTTTTTAATAAAATATACATTTAAAGATATCGTAAAATTTTGACAAAAATATATCAATATTAGTATCAAATTAACTATTTAAAATTCATATTTTTGGTGTAATTTTTTAATTCAATTTTTTTATTATAATTTAATTTAGGTTCAATAACGAAGTAATTTATATTTGGTTTATGACGGGTGTCGAGTCCGGCAAATAATAGAATTTTATAAAAATAAGCCTATTATCTCTAAAACACAACTTGTGATAGTGATAAGTAGGGTCGTCTCCTCAGGGACTCGGTGTTAACCGTAAGTCCAAGACGTAACTGCGTGCAAATTCATTGAAAATAATATGCATATATATATATATATAGATATATATATATATATATGGGGGGGTTTGGAAGATTTATAAATAGCCATCGACTCATTCAATCCATTTTCTCAAAAGAAACCAAGTTGGTTAGGACATCGACACACGTCAATATTATGTTCGTTATAAAAGCATGATCAGTCTTGAACACTCTACGACTAACCTCTAATTAGCTAATCAAACCTAATCACGGACTTAGAATTTAATTGCCAATTGCATTAACGTCAAACAAACCCAACACTAATCGACAATCGAGCGCCGATTGTTTAAATTAGATTATACGATCTTACAACATCATCATTTAACATAAATGTCAACTGTGTGTCGTGTGTTACTTCAATAAACCGAAAAGCAATTACGGACTTAAAGGTTTATCTAGCAACTCGAAATTAAATTAGACATAACAAGGATCCTACTCAAAATATCCAACTCAAAGCGATAAGCATTCAACTCTAAAATCGCATAAATAGCTTCAAATGATATTAAAATTGACGTAAGTCTCAACGAATCCAAATTCAAAGTAATCTCATGCTCATTACTAGAATAAAGGATTTAGTTACTCATGCTTAGAACTAAAAAGAATTTACAAAATGATTGAAATTTAAGAATTAGTGAAGAAACCTGAAATTTGTCTTCAAAATCGCTACCCAATATCTCGAAATAGGCTTACTGTTTCTTCACGATTCCAGTCCTGATCAATCCTCTTGAAACTCTCGATTAGTCCTCTAATCCTCCTCTTGATTTCTGCCGTGCTACTGCTACTTCTCGCCTCAATCGACAGCCTCGATTTTTCTTTTCTGCTTTCAATCGACGGCTTCTTCAATCGACAGGTCTTGTTTCTGCTCTTCTCGATCGACACCTGTTGTCCCTTTTCGATTTCCTCTATATCGACAGCCCTTTCTCTCGATCGATGCCTCCTCCCTCTTGACCGACAGCTTCTTTTTAATCCACTCGTTCCATCGCCACGACCCTCACGATTTCGACCCTCGCTGCCCACGTCGATGGTTGCACGATGTCCCGTCTCCATCGCACTTCTCAATCAACCACGATCCTTGTCTCTCTTTCTCTCGCTCGATGGTCTGGGCAGTGGGCAGCAGCCTTTTCTTTTTTCTTCTTTACACGGGCTTGGGCTTGGGCTTGCTTTTGGGCATCCTTTTTTTTGGGCTGTTTGGAGACATCTGCAGCTGCTGGCTGCTGTTTGGATACAGCAAGGCTGCTGTTTGGCTGCAAGGAACCAAAACAAATAATCAATTTTTTTTTTCCAACTGAAATAACCTCATAGGATTAAATATCAACTTAAAATTAAATTGGACCTATTTAAGCATTTAATTGACATTAATCTCAAGGTATTTTGACGTAAAAAAATGTATAAATTTGGGCTTATCAGTTTAATAATATAATTTTCTTATAAACATAATAATTAATTATTTGTTAGAACTCGATAATTATCTTAATTATATATTAGTTTTTTTATATTTTAAAATGAAATGTTTATCCTCCATTTGATTATGTTTATCCGCAGTTAGTTACACGAATTCAAACATGAAACTTTAATAAGTTGTACTTATACATAATTTACCTGTAATCTTGAATTTTAAGTAATGTGCATCAATATACAATACTTCATGCATAAAAAATGATTTTTAAGAGTTTTTATCAAATGTTTTATAATATAATATAGATTAATATGATCGATAATAAAAAAATTATTTAATTTTATATAATATAGTAAATTTATTCGTTTAGAAGTCTAAATTATAATTATATCAAGTTATAAAACTTTATAAACTGAGACATATTTTATTTAAAATTTTAAATATTTCCATATCATGTTTATCTGTATCATTAATATATGTTTCTTATTTGACCTCTTAGGCATTTTCAAAATTTGATAATACTCAAATGTTTTTTTTATTAACCTGGATATCCAACCTGCTATGTGAGCCGATTAATCCCAGGACGATCACCTGCTTTACAGATAGCCCGGAGTCACCATATTTGAATCTTCCTGACCACAAGGGAATTTTGTTTCCTCCTTAGATTTGAACCTGCGACCACCTCCTCAAATGTTGTTATTAAATTATATATCAAACACAAATATATTAATACGTGATTCATCATTATTTAAATTATTTATCTAAAACTTATCAAGCACTATATATATAAATCTTCATGGTTCATGTTGATGCACCATCACTTTTGATCAACCACGAAGACATCCATTGACGCCATCAATTTTGTTTTTGTAATTTTCGCACTTCTTTCGCTATGCCTTCACACTTAAACTGTCACTGCTCTTGACCACCAATTGGCAACAGCAGATGATAATGGTGCTATCAACAAGGAGAGACAAGCTCTGCTTGATTTCAAAGCTCACCTTCAAGACCCCGGTGGCCGACTCCTTACGTGGAGTGTTGAAGACGACGATTGTTGTAAATGGAGTGGAGTCACGTGCAACAAACAAACAACTCATGTTACAAAGCTTGATCTGACCGGTGAGTTTGGTGAAGGTCCTCTTGGAGGTGAGATTAGCCTTTCGTTGCTCAACTTAACCTACTTGAACCATCTTGACCTTTCCTCCAATTTTTTCAATGGAACCATTCCGACTTCATCGGTCCCATGACTTGGTTAACATTCCTTGACATTCATTACAATCATTTTAATGGAACCATTCCCAAGTCCATAGGTTCCTTGACCCAGTTAAGGTACCTCGACCTTTCCGACACCTTCCTTCATGGGTCCATTCCTTTAGAATTTGGAAACCTCACGAACTTGCAAAACCTTTTACTTGGAACCTCTGAAGGAAGTACCGTTGAAAATCTAGATTGGTTGTCTAATCTGTCTCATTTGCAATACCTTCAAATGGATATGATATCCCTAGCCAAAGCAAATCACTGGGTAGATGCCATTCTAAGTCTCCCAAGACTATCATATTTGAGTTTATTTGATTGTGACCTCTCTGAGGTCATGTATCCATATTCTTCATTTGTGAATTCTTCTTCTTCGTCTATTGGATCTCTTCGACTCGAGAGTAACAATCTCAACTCATCCATGTATCATTGGTTGTTCCCATTAGCGGGGAATAAACTTCTCAATCTTGATCTCTCTAACAACCTGTTAGATGGGATACCCGAATATCTTGGAAATCTCTGTAGTTTGACATCTTTATCTCTCTATGGAAACTCTGTAGCTGTCAACTTTTCTGATGTTCTAAACAATTTGTCTGGATGCACATCGGTTACATTGCAAGAGTTGGATGTTTCAGATAACCAACTTACAGGGTCATTATCCAATGAGATCATAAAGTTTTCATCCTTACAAACTTTGACTATATCTCATAATCGGTTAAATGGGACTATGAGTGAAAAAAGTGTGGGAACTACCTAATCTTCAAACTCTAGATGTTTCTTCCAATTCTCTTAGGGGAGGTGTTATATTTGGAAACACTGGAGAGTCAAAGCTTCAAAAGATAGATCTTTCAAGCAACTTACTTGAAGTGATTCCTTCCAAAGCTCATAACCTTTCATATCTCAAGTATCTTGATTTGAGTGCTTGCAAGGTAGGGCCTCTTTTTCCCAAACAGATTCAAACATACAAAAATATCACCCATCTTAATATCGCCAATGCTAGAATTTCAGACACAATTCCTGTCGGGTTTTGGGAGATATGGCCTTCACAATTGACATATTTGAATCTCTCTTCTAACAACATTAGTGGGGAAGTACCAGATTTATTATCAAATTTTGACGACTTTTCAACAATAGACTTGAGTTCCAACAGCTTCTATGGGCCAATAACGAATGTTCCTCCCACTTTGCTATCGTTGAATCTTTCCAAAAACAAATTCTATGGTGGAATCTCCTTCTTATGCCAAATTGTTGATGGGTTCTTATCATTTCTTGACCTCTCCCATAACTCCTTAACTGGGCAACTTCCTGATTGTTTGTGGCATTTCAAACAACTGAAAGTTCTCAATCTAGGACAAAACAGTCTTTCTGGAAGGATTCCTGCTTCTATAGGATATTTGGCTCAACTCGAGGTGTTGCACTTATACAACAATAACTTCTTGGGAGAATTGCCTTTGGCTTTGAAAAATTGCACGAAGTTGAAATTTTTGAATCTAGGGGCCAACAAGTTTTTTGGTAATGTGCCTGTGTGGGTTGGGGAAGACTTGACATTGTTGTATGCTTTTAGCCTAAGATCAAACAACTTCTTTGGACCCATTCCTTTACAGCTATGTCATCTCATCAACCTTCAAATCCTAGACTTGTCAATCAACAACCTCGATGGATCTATCCCATCATGTGTGAATAACTTGAATTCCATGGTCTATAGAAGGTTCTTGCCAAAAAATAACATGCACGGTTATGGGAAGCTTTACAACGAAGAAGGTGATATTACTATGGTTGGTACTTATGTTGACTATGCGATAACCGAATGGCAAGGAAATGAACATGAACTCACGAGTACTCTGAGATTTTTAATGAGCATTGATTTGTCAAGCAACAACTTAACAGGACAAATCCCAGATGAAATAACTGARCTTCATGAATTGGTTGTATTGGACTTGTCAAAGAATGCTTTACTTGGAGAGATTCCACGAAAAATTGGTGAGATGAAAAAGCTTTTAACATTGGATTTATCTAGAAACAATTTTTCAGGAGTGATACCATCAAGCATGAGTGGGATGTCTTTATTGAATTACCTAGACGTGTCATACAATAACTTGTCAGGGAGAATTCCATCTAGCACCCAACTCCAGTCCTTTAAACCTTCAAGCTACTCCGGAAATGCAGGACTATGTGGACCTCCCATTACCAAAAATTGTACGGGAGATGAAGAATCAGAAGCACCACCCCCGAGTGAAAGTGAGGGTGGTGGAGAAGGCATAGACGAGCTTTGGACATGGTTTCTTATTGGTGGGGGCACCGGTTTTATTACCGGATTTTGGRTAGCATGTGGCGCTTTACTTCTCAACCGTCATGGRAGACATGCTTTTTTTCACTTTGTTGATTTCTTGAAAGATTGGGTTTACGTAAAGGTGGCCATATTCATTCGGAAATTGCAAAGGGGTGCATAYACATAGTGGTCTATGTTTYGTTTTATYTCTGTTATTTGTGTCAYGCATTAACGTTGTTTTCATCTGATTATCGTTGTTCTGATTTTGGTGATAAAGATGATAGCACATGTATTTGGTAGGGGATTTCATGTCCCAATTATGAATAAAATTGCCACCAACACCATGGGTGGCCATTTCATTGTTGTGTGTGAAATAGGGAGACGACTCTTACCATGGTAAGCGCTTACCGGGYAAATTGTTGCATACRTTGTCCTTTTGGTGGACTAAAATCTTAYCYKGTWAGTAAACAATAGTGTTAAATTTTACCGGTAAGCACTTACTGAGTAAGTGTTTGGTAAACGGCCCCTTAGTRTTTCCCTTTACCTATAGAACCTAATTTGGATAGTTGTATTCTTAGTGTGATGTGCTAATATGTTTATATATATAACAACTTGCTCCTCGATTGTCCTATTACCATCAGCTAACAATGCACCAAATTATTAAGCAAATCACAGAAAATTGCAATAGTCAAAATTCACAAGTTAACCAAGTGATTCCATCCATCACTACTAAATTCATAAAACAAACAATAGTCAAAATTCAGAGTCATATATTCATGAAAGAAACAGATGCAAAACAGTAGCCATGGAACTCAAAATGGAGCATGAAATTACAAAATAAAATCAGAAAGAAACAGATGCAAAGCAGTAGCCATTGACTTCGCAAGAACAAGTCGAAATCATTGAATCGAGAACCAGGAATCGAAATCGAGAACCAGGAATCGAAATCGAGAACCATAGAATCGAATTCGAAGAAGCTTAGAGATCGAAGACCATGGAAGTCGAAATAGATGAATGGAGACCGTACCTTGAGAAATCGAAATCGAAAACCATGGAAACCGTACCCAGAGAAAATGAGGTCGAAGTTGTGGAGGCGATGAAGAATCCTTGAAGAAGTTGGCCAACAGATTAGAATAGAGGCCATGATTAATAGAGGGTAATATTGTAATTTTACAATTTACTTAAAATAGAAGTTTTGTCCCATCAAAATTAGTTTTTATCTCATGTTATTTATCTGATTTTAGTCTCCTGACATACTAAAATGGAACTACTTTTTTCTGTCTCGTCTCCTCCGGTTTGTATACCAAACGTATTCTTAAAGATTATGTAGACGAGTTTTTGTTTAGTTTGACGAGTTCTCTTGTTGTAAAGTTTTTATGTTTAACCAAAAGATTAAAAAATCATTAATTGACCAACAATATATCTACCAGTCGTGAAGCAGAATTCCAAAATCATATTTGTTGGTTTGTTTTATTTGTGTTGGTGATTTGTATCATTAATATCATTTAAGTGTAATGGGATTAATTTGTTGACCAATGTAATCATGATAAATCTCGAACAAGTAAGGTAGGTGCGGAGTGCACACTTGTTTGAGTTTATTTTTGATTTAGGGGCAAAGCCCCTAAACGACGGGGGTTCGGAGGCATCGCCCCCGGTGGCAGGGTCCAACCCCTGGCTGGGGTCGAGTTGAATTCACCAATAATATGGGATTATTAACGAGTATTGATTTGTCAAGCAACAATTTAAAAAGGCAAATCCCAAATGAGTTAACTGATCTTCATGAATTGCTTGCACTAGACTTGTTAGAGAATGCTCTACTTGGAGAGATTCCAACAAAAATTGGTGAGATGAAAAAACTTTTAACTTTGGATTTATCCATAAATAGTTTTTCAGGAGAGATACCATCAAGCATGTCTCAGATGACTTCATTAAATTACCTAGACGTGTCGCATAATAGTTTGTCAGGGAAAATTCCATCTAGCACTCAACTCAAGTCCTTTGAAGTTTGAACCTTCAAGGTACATCGGAAATTCAGGATCATGTGGGCCTCCCCTTACCAAAAATTGTCCCGGAGATGAAGTGGTACCACCTACTGTAGGTGAAAGTGAGAGTAGTGAAGAAGGCACGGAAGAACTTCAGAAATGGTTTTATATTGGTGGGGGCATTGGTTTTGGTATTGGATTTTGGATGGCATGTGACGCTTTACTTCTCAACCATCATGGAAGACATGCTTTTTTTTTTTCCCCATTTGTTGACTTCGTGAAAGATTGGGTTTACGAAAAAATGGTGGTGTTGGTTCAAATGACTAGATAAGACTCTCCAGGTAAGAGACGTCAAACTCACTTACTGGATAAGACTCTCCATCTCTATCGTCGCTCTTATCAGGTAAGACTCTCAACGTTTGCCATGTTTTTCCGGTAAGGTAAATGACCCGATAAGCACTTACTGGATAATTGTTTAGTAAGCGACCCCTTACTCAAACTGATGCAAAACAAAAGCTAAGACCATTATTAATAAGTGCATGATCGATGAACATCAACCTAACCACAAATATTAGAGTGCAAGTGCGCTATCAGAGGGGATGTCTAACTCCATTCATCTTCATGAATTTAAACTTTTACGCAATGTTGCCATGACTTTTATTTGAAAACCAGTTGTGTCAATAGTAGTTGGTCGACTTAATAGAACTCGACTTATTAGAAGTAAATCATCTGAAGATTCTTTTTACATGACATTTCTGAAAAGCACCCTATTAGTCTTTTTATAGAACCTACTATATATAACACTTTTCAAGTGTCATATAAAATATTAACAAGACAATTTTATTTTTGGTATCCTATTATACTGTTCAACTTAATCAATAGAACCAGGGCCGGTCCTAAGATTTTTGATGCCCTGTGCGAAAATAATAAAAAATGCCCCTAAACCTATTTTTTATGCCAATAAAACCACGAAACATGCGCTTTTTTTATAGAGTTTAGAATTTATTCAAGCTAAGTGTTGCATTCTCATGTTGATTTTTATTAATTATAACAAAAAAAAATACAGGGGGGGAGGGGACATAAAAACAAAAACCCGAATATAGAATGATAAAATGATAAATTCTGGATTAAGAACGTGTTTCCTTCTTTTTCAGTTTTCCTTTTTCCAAATTGAAATTAGCAAAATATAAACTTTATTTCCATCTTTGGTTTCTTGAATCTAATTTCATGACCGTTAATCGGCTGGAAAGAGGACTCAATGCCTTGAAAATCGAAATAGTCGAACTTTGAAGAACAATAGAAATTAGATTGAGTTGTTGAAATGATGGCGTTAACCGATTCACGATGTGCATTCAACATTCAACACTACTAGGCCTTGGGCTTGCTTTTATAGTTGAAGCTCAGTTACCCAATTCCCAAATTATTAAACTCAAAACTAGTAATATATGACAACTTGATGCCCCTTTAGACTTTGATGCCCTGTGCGGCCGCACGGGCTGCACGTGGCCAGGACCGGCCCTGAATAGAACTAGTTAGGAAACTTAGTAGCATTCAACATATATAGTGGTATGTAATTGATTCTTCTTTTAATTTTGATTTCATCTACTTATTGTTGTTCTTTTGGTGCTACAGATACATATCGTACTTGTATTTGGTATCGGTTCAAGTCCCAATTATGAATAAAATTGCCACCATTACCAAACGCTTATCCGGATAAGCGCTTGGTAAATCACATTTCCTTATTGGATGAATATGGGAAGGACCAAGAAATTTACCCAGTAAGAGCGAGACAAGGATCATGAGTCTTACCCGATAATTAAGTGATCGGGCGACGACTCTTACTATGGTTAGCGCTTACCAGGTAAATTGTTGCATACGGTGTCCTTTTGGTGGACTAAAATCTTACCCGATAAGTAAACAATAGTGTTAAATTTTACCGATAAGCACTTACCGAGTAAGTGTTTGGTAAACGGTCCCTTAACCATCTTGTTGAATAAACTCTAGCAGCCTCCCTATTCCCACACTTCACATCTATGTAATAATATGTCCATTGAAGCATTTTTACATGGTTGTAAAGGGATTTTCAAAACCGTGTAAAAGCCCACTGTGAAAGAAAGTATCCGACCTTTTTACACAGTTTCAAAACCATGTAAAAAGGTGATAAAAACTGTGTAAAAATGGCTCATTTTTTCTCCAAACTAATCAACACACTTCAACGAATTTAGCCTGTTGCAACGACAAAAATCCCTGCTAAAGATCCAAATTTCGTCGCTATGTCTTTGCGACGACCGTTGTCGCTATAGATCTTATCACTGTTAGTTCGTAGCTCCCTATGGTAATAAAACAATATCATCTAGTTAGCATGTTCTTTTTTTAATCATTTTTCATTTTTCAAGAAGCATATCATCTAGTTTTGTCAAATGTTCATTAGCTAGTCTGTCAAACATAGCGTTGATAAGTGTTTTCACTCTCTTGACTGCTGGGACGGAAGAGGGTTATTTAATACTTCATGATATGGAATTTTAATGTGTGGCATGGTTATTTTTATATCTGTTTTTGTTATTTTTTTTGCCACATCATCTAAAGGCAACTGGTTACGTGTTGTTTACATGTTGAAGAGGTAATCAAGACCTTTAAATAAATAAAATGTTTATTTGCGAACCTAAAATGATAATTTAAAAAATTAATTCCCCAAAATTGAAACTTAACTGAGACAATCAGACAATGTTGATTTCATTTTGATACAATTTTCAAAAGAAAAACCATATTACTACAATAGTGATGAGTTATTTGTCCAAGTCTTTTTCAACCATGTGTACAATGCATTTTTTATTGACACTTGAATGTACATTCTCTAATTAATAAAATAATTAAAAGCTCTTTAATTAAATTTTTTAATCAAATAGATCTAAACAAATTTTTAGCATCTATATGAGATTAGTATTAAAAACAATAAAACATCAATTCAGTTAGTAAACATATAAGCTCGTTTTATTTCGATTAGGTAACATAGTTTTAATAACTTAATTGACACTACAACAAAATCGGGTTTATAGGACACTTCCAATTTCTAAGCGTCCTAATATACCTTTTTATAAGACTTAGTTTATATGACCAAAAAAATAAAGCGTCCTATATAAAGGCGTTATAATAAGTTTATATGATGTTTTTTGAAGTCGTAATAAGTTTTTTAGGACACTTTTAA